TATATATATAACGTATATTTGTATGCTGACATTAGCTGTTGACTGATCATTAGGAACTGCAGTGGTGTAGCAATCACGAACCTGACAGAGCAAACAAGCCAAGGCCAAATGACCAGTATGGATAGGGGTCCTTACTCCTTGTGTGCTGAATGCACGGAGAATCAGGTGTGCACTTTTGACTGAAATACATTATTTTATGTCTCCATTTATCAATTTGACACATGTTGAATTCATGCAAATGTGTGTTCAAAGACAAAAAAAGTACATATTTCTTAAATTAAAAACCGTTTCACGACTTCTGGTCTAGAGTGAGCATCACAACCAGATTGGCTGACTTAAAAGAAATGCTGATTGAGAATGGGGTGCTATTAACAGGCTAGTAGCACGAGGAAGAGACGTCAGGCTGTTGTGGCTGTGTGTGGTTCTTCCACATGCTACTCAGGTCTTTGTTAAATGAATAAATTATTAACTTGCCAAGATATGTCTTGTTTCTAAGACTTCACACCACCAAACGAGTCAATAACAAATTGACTGAGGCAGAGAGAATTTGGCAAGATTTTCATGGGCACAACCCAAACAAATGTGAGCTCATTTAAGGAGAAATAAACACGCTCTTCGTTGTTATGAGATTTATTGCCATGAAGCTTTGTTAGAACAAAGATACAATCAAACACAAATGTGGCCTGTGTTGACAAGAGTCACAGTAAGGGATTTTTCAATATTGAGTCCTTTTTAAATTATCCACCTCAAAGGCTTCAAAATAATAATGCTTGTTGAAATGTGATGGTTTATGATCTGGCCTACAAACAAACCAGTTTGTTTACTTAAGTATCTGAAAACTTGATTATTGTTCTAGAATGATGTAATCAGGAATTCCAGCATTATGTTTAGAAAGGGGAGTGCCTGAGCTTCGCAATCATGCCAAACGTCATATTAAGGGATTTTCCTTTGCCTTGGCATCCGGCAGGAAATAAAATGGTCTGTTTCAAAGTGTATTGTAAGGGTTATAAAATAAAGGAATATTTGTTATCTGTTAGAAAACATAGCTTTAAAGTTAAGAGGAAGATTTATGCCATTTTAGTTACAGGGACTGTTAAATTGTGTCCCAATGGACACATTTTTACACAAATCTCAATTCAACATGGGTCACAAATTGTCTTACTTTGTGCTAGGTTTATTATAAAGTTTATTGCACATTGTGCTTATTTGTATTGCTACATGTGCTTCACAAAAAGGGTTTCTGATTACTATATTCACTGTTTGCATTTATCTGTGGTGGAATAAAAAGTACTGTGTGTGTGCGTACACTGTTGATAAAGGTTTTGTGCATTTTTTTTAAAAGGAGTATTCATATTTGGATCTTTAAGTCTTGTGTCAATTCAGGGATTGTTTGTTTAGATTTTTATATCTTTCCTAAAATATATTTTAACTCTTTAAAGCTTGCCCTATTTATAACTATTTTTTTGAAGGTGTGTTGGAGTGCTTGCTTGCTGTGGTGAATTCTTGAGAGTTTTCTTTGCAGTCTGGTCAAGGTGAACGACTAAATAATAGTGAACTGTTAAATATTCTCAAAGGGATTAAACTATACTCTCGATCCTAAATGACGCTCATTAAAGGCATCACATGCACTAATAGAAGCTAATGAGAGCAAAGCCGCCACACTAATGTTTACATATCCTTTTTTCTTTCTGTAAAAATTAATTACAATCTAATTTGCACTATTTATTTTGTGCGTGCATGTGTTTTCATGTTCCTGCCGCTGCAGCCTCAGTGTTTTTGGATAAATGTGATTGGATAAATAAAGCATTTGCTCATTTGCTGCCTGTGTTGTTGTTGTTTGCATTCACAAATTGGCTCCAGCACATTGTTGGTTTGTCTTTCGGGTGTTTGTCTTCTTGGCCGCCTCATCGGCTCATCTGGAGTCGTGTTCCTCCTGAAATCCTCCACTGTGATGCATCCATCTGGCTGGAGCCCTCAGCAGTAGGGCCATATTTTTAGTCTTGTACACAGAGATATAAAGAGGGGCAAAGAGCCATATTTTTTTCTTTTTTTCTTTTTCTTTTTTATTTTTGAGGACAAAGACAAAAAGTAATGCGACAATTACACGTTTCAAGAAAAGTTTAAATAGATAATCTTTTGAGCCAGACAAAGCATTATCTAAATAAAATATGATATATTCATATAACAGATTTGACATTTCTTAAAGGAAGTTTTGAACTCTTTTGAACCATGATTTTTGAACATAAATAGTAGTTTTGCTGATAGAAGAGATCCATGATCTTACAGGCAAGCAATGATCTAATCACTTACTTAACAAAACAAACTTGATAAATCTGGTTTAAACAAGTTTTTGTCACTTAGGCCAAACTTGGTACAGCTTAGTGGCTCGTATTTAACATGCAGATCTGTTAAAATAGTAATTTTATCTTCTTCTGCTACCCCTGTCATCTGTGGAAATCTTCCAAGATCCATCATGTGGACAGTAATATTTTTATTTTTAGTTATACGAAGTATGGCACAGCAAAACAGGTTTGAATTGTCACATCACAGTAAAAAATTTGTGGGTTTGAATTGTGGTTGATGACCTGCATATTAGGTTAACTGATTCCAATTCATCTGTGGGGTTGAGCAGATTGAGGCAGGTTGTTTGTTTTATGCGCCTTAAGTTCTCCTGTAATAAAAGGAAGAGCTGTCAAGACAAGGTCTATCCTAGCTCATGTCTAGGCACCAGCTCCCCATGACCCTGAACAGTACTCAATGGACTGATAGATGGATTAATGTTAAGTGAAAACCCAAAACTTATATGCCCCTGCTACCTCCATCTCCTACTTATCCATAGTTGGGTTGAGGAGCCATTAGGTCCAGGAGAGTCACTCAGACACTCCTCTCCCCGGTGACCCCCTCCAGCTTCTCCTGAAGGACCCAATGGGGAGGCCAGAAAAGATTTGCTCTGGGTCTGCCCTGGGGCTTCTTATTAGGAAGATGTGCTCTGAAGATGTTCAAAAGGAGGCGTCTTAATCAGATGTCTGAACCACCTCAACTGACTCATTTCGAAGAGAAGGAGCAGCGTCTCTAATCTGAGCTCCCCCTCCCGAATGATGGAGATCCTAACCCTGAGGCTAAGCCAGGCTGAGCCTGTCCTCTCTATGAAGGAAGTTGGGTGCTTGTATCTGAGATCACGGTTGTTGCCACAGCCACATGCTTCCCTGCAGAAAAAAATCGTTTGATGTCCAGTGTTTTAAGACAGTGCTGTGTGAATTTAAAGTTTGTAAGTTAAAAGCTGTGGGAGGAGTTCGTTGTTCAGTCATGATTGAAACCTCATGACCATATGCGAGGAAAGAAACAGACAGATTAGCAGTATTTAATCCCAAATAAGTGCTGGTAACATTCTGCCACTCAACAAGAAGCCAAATGTTTTCTGTTCACACATATACAAACCACTCTGGGCTTAATACAAGAGACTATCTAAAGACATTAGACCATCATAATTAGCTGTACTTGGGATAAATTGGAGATATCAAAGGCTCGTCTATTTGTTGTGAAAACTACAGCAATTCTATCTCAGTGTAAAACCAGTGCTTTAAAAATGGCAAAGTCCCATTTGTTTTACTGCTTGAGGCTATAGATAAGTAGATAAATAAAACATTCTATTGACTTGTCTTATTGTGCTCCTCAGCTGTATTAGTTACAGTTTTGTAGAAGAAAAAATACAGCTCATCCTGCCTTTCAGCTTTAAGAGGAGGCAAATGTACATCACTCAGAAAGTTACCTTTTTTTAATCCACAGTAATGGTTAATTTTATTGTTTTAATTAGAAATGATAATGGCTTATTGTGTAAAAAGGAGTTGTTCTAATGTTTTTATTCTCACTTGTTTTTAGAAATCCAGCTGTTAAAAAAGTCTGTTTGTGTCTGTTCTCCTGGTGGTCTGGTCTCAGTATTTCTGTCTAAATGCTCGAAATGAATGATGGTCCCTGCTTTCCCTCGCAGCCACAGATTTCAGAAAAGTGTTGGTCCTGAGGGGTTCACTTTAGTTATTACATCACCAGTCAAGATGTGAGACATATTTTGGACTTGTGGGAGAAAAAGGCAAGAGATGAATACTTTAATGATTTCCACACAAAGTCATTCTGTCTCATTATACAGCTGGCCCCAAACATGCTCGTGTCACTAATGAAAAATCAAAAATCAGATAGGTTAAAAAAAAGCTGCTCTTGAGTGTTTGGCCCTGAAGGCAGATACTTAAGGCAATTATTTGAGCCTACCTCCTTTACTGCAGGAGTGTTGGAATGCACCTGAACTGGATCCCACACGGGGAAGAGTGATTACAAAAACTCACAAACCTGTTGCTTTACAGGTGTGACAGCAACTAGACACATTCATTTCACTGACACCTGTCAGCTGTGGCAGAGTCAAGCGAACAGGAGCCGGTAAACTTGGACAGCAATGGACAAATGCTGCTTGTCTGCTGAGGACGAGGAGAAGACGAGGATACACAAAGAAATCGAGAGGCAACTTCGCCGTGATAAACAAAACCTTAAACGAGAGCTGAAGCTACTGCTTTTAGGTGGGAATCTTTTATTTATACACACTCTGGTACATTTTTCCTGACTATCCTTGTACGGACTGGTAGTCCTTATTGGGACCAAAACCTGGACTGAATATGATGGCTTAGGTTTAGTTTGTGTTCAATTTCAGTTTAACTGTCACAGAATTTACCATGCTCTCATTTTTTCTAAGTTATAGTTAAAAATTTATGAAGAAATGTAGAGGCATGATAAGTAATCAGTGTCTTACCTGCAGTAGTTCCTGGAGAATTAGAAGTTTGGTATTTCAGGAACTTTCATTGGGTGAATCAATAGCTTATTCCATAATGCCGTAATGCATTTAACCTCTAAATCTTTTAAAAACCTTTACAGGACTGTCATGTTTTTTTATGTTTATGTTAAAAGCGTTGAAGAATGAGTCTAACTCCCTGAGCAGTGATCGTTAATTTGAAACTAATGTTGCAAAATGGAATGTGTAAAACACGAGCCGAAAAAGTAATGCCAAGCAAGAAAAATCTTTTTCTGAATAAGCAAAATCTTCTGAAAAATTAAGAAAAAATCTATCAGGAAAACCCTTCTGCCAGATATGTAAAACTGACAATGCAGAGGTCAAATTTTGATAACCTTTAACAGCTGCACAGAGCTCATCTTCAAAATGTCTAAACTATCCTTTTAAACAATTTGTCACATTTTTATTGGAAAGTTTTAATTGTGAATCACTGTAGTTGGAAAAAAAACTAGCACTGGAGTTTCATGTTGAACAGCATCTGTATCTGAAGGAATCAAAATGAAAGTATTAAACAGGGTTTGTTTTACTTTCATTATTAAAACAGGCAGACACAGAGAGACTTCAGCTATGCTTGATTTAACTGTAAATACAGAAAAAGCAATGTTAGAACAGGTACAATACAATCCCTGTTCAGTAGAGCTTCTTGCATACTCTTAACTTTGTTAGCTTAGCCTAGTTCCTTTCTTATGTAATCTTTAATTATTTTCTCACAGTGACTCACCAGTTTGGGTCTCTGACACTCAGAACTCAACAGGGAGCATTTCTGTAACTTAAAAGCTGCTCAAACATCTAAACTGTTTTTAGACATTAATGGTAAAATAGAATAAATTTAGCATTTTGTTGCTTCTTAAACCTAATTGTGCATGTTGAGTGTTTGGATTTAGCTGAGACTGACAAAGACATATAAGTAAACCTGGAACAGATTTTGCTATTATTAGAAAGTTGAAACATCAAAGATACCTGCATGGACATTTTGTTTTGATGTTTTAATGCTGCATTCCTGATTTATTTAACTTCAGCCCATAATAATTTTGTTAAACGTTATAAAATATTAAAATATAGGATGTCTGGTAACTGTTTAGAAATGAATGAAATCTTTGTGTGACATCAGAAATTATAATTGTAGTCTTTCCTGCTTGTTTTGTGTTAGTTTTGTTTTCACAAGATTTAGAGATTAAATGCACTAAAGGAAGTTTTGTATGAAAGACAGGAAGTGTTCAGTAAATATGTTGAACATCCCAGATTCATTGTATCACTTTGGTATGTAGTTTTTGGCTTTGCTGTTCCTATAACACACAGACAGGTTGCTTTGAACATTCTTCAGATTTTTCAGACCTTGTGTCAACTTAAAAAAATTGTTTCCTAGTTGAAATGAAACAACAGTACTGAAGACTGTATTTATGATGCAAGGCATTTTTATACTGTCAATTTTAGAGAATACTTTGATTAATGTGTAATAGTTTTGAATATACAGTTTAATTTTATCCAGTTTGATATTCTGTCAGTAAGAATGTTAACATATCAAATACAAAAATTATTTATTTAATGCAAAAACTGGTCATTTGAAAAATAAAATCTAAAATTGTCTTTAAAGGAATATTTTTTTCAAAGGAAAAAAATTGGCAAATGTAATGAGTAAATGTTAGTTTCAGAGTAAAGTTTCAGATGCTTTTTTAAAGACTGACTACCAAGTATGTTAGAAATGATACATTACACTTCAAAATAAAGTATCAGTCACACCTAATAACACTTAAAAACCTACAAAATGTAGGTTAATACTGGTTCAGATCCTCCAGGAAATTCAGCATCCTATAACGCAAGTCAAAAAGATATAAACACAAAACCTGTCTTTCATATAGAAATAACAGATTTTCAGACATATATTATGCTTTGTATGATAAATATTATAATTTTTGAAGGCATTTAATCTCTAAATCTAGTAGTAACACAACTAAGAAATTAGTAAGGAAAATGTGTGGACACAGAAATCATATTGTACACAAATTATAGAAAAAGTAGTTTTGGGGTGAAAAAAAAAACAAATTTATTTTGTACTGTTTTATTTGCAAAATCCAGTTTAGCTGCTGCATGCTGATGTTAATGTTTTCTTGCTCTAATATAAGTGTCTGCTTTAATTTTTGCTTTCCTTTTTTTTCTCGTTCATTAGTGTACTTATTTTTCTCATTGTCAGGGACTGGTGAAAGTGGGAAGAGCACCTTTATAAAACAGATGAGGATCATCCACGGCAAAGGGTTCACCGACAGTGACAGGAAAGGGTTCACTCGGCTGGTGTTTCAGAATATCGTCGTAGCCATCCAGGCGCTGGCTGATGCCATGCAGACCCTAAAGATTGATTACGTTGATGACCAGAACCTTGTAAGAAGCTTTAATTTTCCCCATAATTACATACTGTTTAAATGGTTCCGCAATAGTGTACAGTGGATGTAAAAATCTAAATTATTCAGAATACAGTGTATGAAGTTGCTGCCACCAGTTTTTTGAGAACACTGACTGCCTTTACATCTTCTTTTAATGGGCACCACTGCTTAAAAAAATCCACTCTATCAATACGACGTAGTAGTTTAACATCAGAGTGCATCAGTTTTGTGAGAATTACAAGTTTAAAGAATTCCTCTTTCAGCCAATAAGACTAAACCTGCTTTTGACCATAGATCAACCCTTCTGTCCTATTTCTCTCTGCATTTGAACAGCTGCAACAGTTCAACAACTGAAGAATGGTCAGAGTTAATAATGAAACAAAGTGCAATGTTATGTAACTGCCTGCAGATAACTGTGTTTTCAACTCAGCAGCAGTGAATAGAAAGCAGAGGACATGTGCCAATTTCACATGAAGTAGGAATCTAGTCCTTGGTGGTTGAACAAGCTATTCAAGTATTTTATTTGATCAAAATATTGGGTTTGTTTATTTTTCTTCCACCCACACTATGCTTCTTGCATTTAGATATAGTTTTGTGTGAAATTATGACATGAAATTATGGATGTTTCTTTGCCTTGACGCACCTGATTTGAATGAATGAGTGATTAACAGGGTTCTGCTGAAATAAAACATGCAGGATAGTGGTACTTGAGGACCGGGATTGGGCACCACTGTCATTGACTAAATGACTAGATCTCTGAATGTAACCCAAAAGCTGAAGCTTGAATTGAAGAAACTAATGAGGTGTGTTGACTAGAGGTGCTATCACATGACTCTTTTGTTGGAAAATAGTTTTTGGTCAAGACAAGCTGGTAAAGCTGAATGTGGTTAGTAGAGATGTCAAACGTATTCTTATTCTTTACTCAAGTAAAAGTGTAAAAATACTGGTTTTGAAACTACTTTAAGAGTAAAAGTAAAAGTAAAAGTTTCATAAAGAAGAAGAAGAAAAATAAAACGTTAAGGGGAAATGCCTAAGGCTGCACCACAGCCTTAGTGCACAACCCCATCTCCCCCCCAAAACGTTTCTAAAATCCATTTTGACTATAATATATTAAAATGTTGACAAATTTGGGATGCACTAGGTCACCTGTTTCAGCCACATACTATGTACAGTATTTATGCTATGGCCATCTTTATACCAGGCTACATTCATCTGACGTACTGTATGTTCTGCATGATGTGATTTGTGTCGTGAAGGTGTGATGGACTGCCTACAAAACCAATAGTGTGTCAAAATAGTATATTATATTTTTCATATTACCACATTTAAATTCACTCGATTCCAGGACATGGAACTTCTTTGGATAGATTTTTTTTGCTCTACTTTGTTTTGTTTTTGTACAATGATGAGCCAAAAATGACAGTGAGATGAAATAGGACAGTACAGAAAATGCAGATAAATGCGTAAAAAAGTAAGAAGTTAAAAGTTGGCTGAAAATTACTCCAGTAGAGTATAGATCACCAAAATTTCTACTTAAGCGAATCAACAAAGTATTTGTACTTCATTACCTTTGGTGGAAACCATAACTTGTTAAATTAAGATAGCACATCAATGAAACTCTGTTATTGACAACCATTATTTTGATTTGATAAAAATGCTTGTCAGTACACATTATCATACTGGACAAAATGTTGCCAAGGTACACACATTTTTCTGTGAAAAAAACTAATATTTATTTGCAAGCCTACGCAGACATCTAGCCAGGATAAAATGTTTACACTGACAGCCTCCAGTATGTTACTGCAGTTGAACCACAGTGGTCAATCCTTTGAAGCGCACGTGACGTCTTTAGTCAATACATCCCATTGAAAAAATCTTGCTTCCTTTCTTGCGTCATTTGTTTTAAGCCCCTCCCATGTTACTAAACTGCCCACTTTGAAAAGTTGTTTTTTGTTGTTGTTTACTAGGTGTTTTTTTTTTTTGTGTGTGTGTGTGTAAGAATAATGCAAAGAAACTGGGCCAGATTGATTCAAGTGACGTACAGACTTTGGAGTCCTGGCAGGTGGACGCCATTAAACGAGTGTGGAACGACCACGGCGTGCAACAGTGTTATGACCGCAGGAGGGAGTTCCAGCTGTCAGACTCAGCTAAATAGTAAGATTCAATGTCTGTTTGTCTGTATTCTTTCTTTTTATCCAATTAGATTTGTGTCATTGTGCTAAACTGGAATTATTTGTTGTTAATATTTTAGTTATCTGAGTGACATGGACAGAATCTCAGCCCCAGGCTTCATTCCTACCCTGCAGGATGTCTTGAGGGTCAGAGTTCCCACCACAGGGATCATAGAATACACGTTTGACATGTCAAAAGCCATCTTCAGGTATAATGCTACTCTGCTTTTTGGTAGTTATTTTGCAGGAAATTAAAAAAATATAGAAATCTGGTCAAGACCTACTTCATGTTTTTTATTTGTCTGTGATTAAATAGAGAAAGCAATGTCTCAAACTATTTAGGGGCTGCATAAATGCTTGTTCAGCACTTTATTTCTTGTTCAATAGAAAAGCTAAGACCCTTTCAAACCAAAAGCAACACAATGTTAAACGTTGAACAATGTAACCAATGTTCTATGCAAAGGCCTTATAGCTAAAGGCTACTTTGCACACTCAGACCACGGTGACACCATATTTCAGTCCTGCTCCCCATTGAACCAGAAATGACTGGTCAACGTGAAAACTAAACTCATTTCAGGCTTGAATTCTCCCCAAATCTCTCCAAATTATAACATTTCATGCACACACACACACACACACACACACACACACACACACACACACACACACACACACACACACACACACACACACACACACACACACACACACNCACACACACACACACACACACACACACACACACACACACACACACACACACACACACACACACACACATGTTTCTCTATCCTTGTGGGGAATTTCCATTGACTTCCATTCATTTACTAGTCATTTCTATAGCCTAACCCTGACTCTTTACCCTAAAACTAACCACTCCAGTACCTACCTGACCCTAAATCTAGCATAAACTTAATTAACACCTTGGTCCCATACCACAAAAAGCCTTTTTGCACAGCAAGGCAAGCTGTCCTGGCTTCAAACTCAGCATGTTTGCATTAGGCTTTATGGCCTAGTTCCACCCTGATTTCTGGAACCCAGAGACCCTGGTTCTCTCTGGGCCTGCCCAATTTGTCGTCAGCTATGATTGCTTATTGGGCATTTTTGCTTGGCTTTGCAGTGCAAAAAAGCTTTTTTATTGGTTCATTGACTGGGAGCGTTTCATCTTACAGATGAGATTAACGTTATGTGAATGGGTTGCAGCGACTATAATTTTTTTTTTCACGTAAGATTATTTAATAGTAGCAAGTTACCAAACAACATCTAGCTAAGATTAGCTACCATTAGCTTACCATTCTCTGTCATCTCAGGTGTCAAACTGCTGAGTGGCCCGGTACAACCTTCAGTACTTTTCCTGTACAATAAGGCCAGGCTGACTGGGGCTGAGCTGGGCTGAACTGTCGGGCCTTACAATGCAAAACATGCATAGAGAATGATGGCCTTTGGGTGGTATAGATGTATAGATGGTATACATTGCCTAGGGACAACTTAGTTATCAGTTAACCTAACAGTCATGTTTTTGGTCTGTGGGAGTAAGCCGGAGTACCCGGAGAGAACCCATGCATGCACGAAGAGAACATGCAAACTCTACCCAGAAAGGTCCCCGGGCCGAGATTTGATCCGGCGACCTTCTTACTGAGAGGCATAAGCTCTTGAGCCACCATGCCACCACGGTGACTTAGCATGTCATCTTAAAACCAGTGCCATCATTGCCAGACCTAGCCCATATCCTGTTGACAAATCACTCTCCATGACAGCCTGGCACCAGATCTGGCCCACAAGTCTGCTATGTGGGGAAGTTCCCTTGATATATTTATTGTTTTGTTCTTTTACTTCAGTGGCAGGTTTGGCACTTGCTGCTTTTGGCATGAAGGAGCCATCAAGTCAAACTTTAAATGCAAACACAAAAGTTGCATATATGTTTTGTCTAAGTATATTTAAGTGCATTATATATGTTTTCAGGATGGTGGATGTGGGAGGCCAGCGATCAGAAAGGCGAAAATGGATCCACTGTTTTGAAAGCGTTACTTCCATCATATTCCTGGCAGCCCTCAGCGAATATGATCAAGTTCTATATGAGAGCAAAGATGATGTGCGTTCCAAAGCAAAATTTGTTCAGTCAGATTCCAAAAGGATGGATTTTTTTAACTGTTCCTATCTGCTCTTTTTAGAACCGACTGCGAGAGAGCCTTGAGCTATTCAGAACGATTGTATCATCCAGTTGGTTTCAGGAGTCCTCCACCATCCTTTTCCTGAATAAAACAGACATACTGGAAGAGAAAATCACACATTCACATTTGGCAACCTACTTCCCAGACTACAATGGTAAACTGTAATCTCCTGCTTGCTCTATTATTTTTACTGTTTACAGAAGTGAAACAATTATCACCACTAGTTTTATATATAAGTAAGTAAGTAAGTAAGTAAGTAAACTTTATTTCTATAGCACCTTTCACAGACACAAACATCACAAAGTGCTTCACAGAAAGCAATAAATAAAAATAATTAAAAACAATAAAACAGATCACAGATATAAAAAC